TAAACGAGGCAATGACTATTGGGGACAGGATTCCCTGCCGGTATTATGTGGTGCGACGACGTCGACTACGACGACAACGACGATGACGACTCAAGCTGAATGGCTGACACTTACAGCAGCAGCAACAGCAGCAGCAACAGCAACAGCAACAACAGCAACACCTACAGCTAGTGCTGGTAAATAACACTTAACAGTAATGACAGCTACCCATTTTAAGTTCCATTCACCATAAAACGTCTTTCAACTGTCATAACGGGCCATGGGAGCTGCCAGACGACAACACCTTGAATGTCCTTTAAAGCAGCTTAGCACATTTTCACCAGCACATTTTCGCACACATTTTAAATGCGATTTTCATTTATGTATTTGCTCGGAGAGCATTTCAGTTAACGTTAACAAATGTGAGCGCCGGACTCTGTTTGTTGAGCCTCAAGCAGAGCTAGAAGCGTGTAAATATTAGTTACACTTAACACATTTACCCTACATAAAAATTACAAAATTAAATTTTACTAAATGTGAGCTATGTATATGTAGATTTATATAAATCATATTCAGTTTCTGTCGTAATTGAAAAGCTCTTTTAGAAAAATATAAACAAATAAATAAATGAAAGAGGTAGAAAAAACTAAAATATTATTTGGAAATAGAAAGAAGGAAAATTAAATACATAGATTGATAGATAGACTGTTGGATTACATTATATAGACAGATAGAGGGCTTGATATGTTAATAAACACATAAATAGATCTGTATACTGATATTTAAAAAGATCATTAATCTGTATAATAAACATAGAAGGAGGAGGAGTCGCATTACACCTAGGCTTACAAGCTGAACTAAGTAACTTTTAATTAAGTTCATAAACTATATATATTAAATATTGATTTACTTATATATGTGTATATATATATATTGCCTGACATTCTTGTTGCTATTATAAGTAGTATGTAATATCCATACGAAAGAATCTTTCGAACTTGATGGATCATCGCGTGCCAAAGATTTGCGGCGCAACTTTTCAACACCTCAAGGAGAGAAGCTTTTCCCCCATATAGATATAGTCTCTCTCTCTCTCTATATATATAGTGTATATAGCATTACACTTCCCTTGACTGTCGTCAGCGGTTTCTCGTATTTATGCGCCCCTCTGGTAGCGCCATAAAGCTCTCGCGAGCCGTTATAAATACACGCTTTAAAGCAATTTAGCTTGCGCTCGGGTCTAACCAGGAGCTACCCATGACGAGGCCAGGAGTGCAGGAAATGCATTTTAAATGTCGAGCACGGCGTAAATAACCCGTTAATGTTAACATGCACACGGCAATGGCAACGGCAACGGCAACGGCTACGGCTACGGCACCAACTCCAAAGCTCCAACTGCAATTGCAGCAACTCCGACTCCGACAACGGGTCCTGGCCTGGGTCTGGGTCTGGGTCTGGGTCCGGGTCGCGGCACGGCAATGCGTTGCCTTAATTTATGTGTCACGGCAATGGCGACAACACAAGGACGCTTCGACGGCCAAAACTTTTTCATTTCATTTGACTCGATTCGATTTTCAGTGCGCACTGGCAAAAGTTTGACAGCCACTTGGCACCTTGGAACTTTTTTGCCATGCCGCGACCCCACCCACAGCCAGCCACTGCTAGCCTGGCATATCCTTTGCATATACAACAAGTTGATGTGGTGTTGAGTGAACACTGACTGACTACTAAATGACCTGTGCACGGGGCTTGTGCTTAACTGGTGGAATATATTAGAATTTTTTATCAGTTCAAATGTTTCTCTAATTTTACATACTTCATGTTCTCAAGCGATGACATATGGGAAATACAATATTTTAAGCTGATTACTTATTTCATTGGTAATATGATTTATAAAGGAGATTTATAAGCTAGTCTCTAAGTTTTGTTATAAGAATTAATATTGTACCCTTATGTAGGAATAAGTCAAGTATTCAATTTGTATTTATCATCTCAGTAAAATGCTTAAATTTAGTATTTTTATTCTCAAATTACTCAAGTTGACTTCAATTTGAATATTTAATTGAAATCAAAATTAAATCCACGTATATAAATTCTATATATTGATACTAACTGTCTTTGAGCTCTCTATTATGCATTTAATTGTAATTCTAGTGAGAGTTAAAAATAACCTGACTTATTCACAAATTTATTCTCAGTTCTACAGAAAATCATTATTTCAGATTTCCGCTGTATATCCTTATCCTTATCCTTAAACATGTTATGATTCCCAGAAACACAATATGTGGGTGTTGTAGGTGTCAAGCAAAAAATTTAATTTCCTATCTTAACTAAACCCTAGGTTAAGCAAAATATGAGAAAAATATCTTTATTTTCTTTTTTTTTTTATTTGACTAAATGTTTACAGATGTAAGGATAAAAACTGTTTCATTATAAAAATAAAAAACAACCATTTTTATTTTACGGAAATTTTTGGACATATTTAAAAAAAAAAAAAAAAAAAAACTATACACAATATTTCCCGATATGATTAAAAGATTTCACTTATTATGTAGTGTAAAGGTACACAAATCTGTGTATTTATTCACAGATCACTCATAAGAAGGTCTTTATTCTGAATCGAACAAATTAGTTACCTAATTCGGAAACTAATTAAATTGTAATTTTGCTGACGATTATCACATATGAATGTACGAAACGAATAACATCGTCCTATAACCAATTTCAATGGGTATGCGGTATAAAAAGACTTACACACACACACACACACAGAAACGCAAACACGAAAAGTTCAGTAGTTGGCCAAAAGTCACTTGGCATGCATATAAATTGTCAGCCATTAAATTTGCATTGACATTTTGGCCGTGCAGCATCGCCCCCTAAGCCATTCGCCATACGCCATTTGCCATGTGCCACGCCCCCTTTAGCACCCACTTTTTTGGTTTTAGTTTTTAGCTTGGTGATTTATTTGTGCGCTCTTTGATTGCATGGCCGGAGCCATCGAGAGCAGCAGCAGCAGCAGCAGCAGCAGCAGCAGCGGAAGCAGCCGCAGCAGGAGCCGCAGCTTCATCCTTCCAAGTTGTTTGCCATGTTTTGATGCTTGTTTTTATTGAATTTGCTGAATTAATTTGACTGCAGCATCATCAGATGACAAAAAAAAAAAAAAAATACAAAAGCGAAAAGATAAAAAACCCAAATAAGAAATAGACCAGAGAGTAGAAAAAAGAAGAAAAGAATTGGCCAACGTTGATTAAACTTGGCTTTGCCACTGACAGCCAAGTGAGTGGAGGGCAGTTCAGAGACCACTCCAGACCCCATCTACATATTCAACATCTTTTCAGCTGCTCTTGGTCAGCAATTAGACTAATACCAAGGCCATGCCACGGCTTTTACCTTTTGGCCCTATTGAGCCGCCATCTATCTCGTTATGGCCAAAGCCTGCTCCGGCATTGACTGCATCTACGACTACTTGACAATGATTTCTATTCCTGGCTTATGCAAGAGCTAAACATGTTGACAGAAGGACAAACCACCTAGTCCACCCAGTCCGGTAGCTGGGAAAAGCTAGGAGAAAATACGGTTCGTGTATAAAAAGTCAATCACAAAGCAAGAAATGTCTTTGTACATGTTGAGCTGAAAAGCCTGACTGAATCAATCAATCGATTGACTGAAACCCTGACAGCGACTAGCCGGCTTGCTGACGAGCATGTGAGTTCTGATTAGCTGAGTGAAAATTACAGACTAATTAACTAACTGACTGACAAAGCGGCAGAATGTTTGACAGATTGCAAAACCTTTAGACTACATACGAGATACATTAACTGATTGATGGATTGATTGCGTATTTAATTGACTTGCTGACTTCTTCACTGGCAGATCCACTGAATAACTGAGTAACTGACTGATTAACTAACTTGTCAGCTGAAGTGACTAGATGACTAGATGACTAATGAAAGCCTGAGAAACTGCAGAATGAACCAGTTAGTAAATGATTGATCGACTGATTGATCTACTCAATAATTTATTACTTAGCACACTGATACATTGATTGATCGACTGACTAACGTACTACTTACAACAGTGATGAATCTTTGAGTGGTTGAATGACTGACTAATTGGCTGACTTCGATTGACCAACTGATTAAAATTTTGCTCGATTGACTGACCACAAATCTGATTAGTGGAGTAACTGATTGACTGATTGAGTCACCTATTGACAGCAAACTGACAACTGATTGATTAATTGAGACAATTTAAGTTATAATTGATCGATTATGTATGTTTGATTGGCCAATTCGTAACTGATTGATGGGCGCACTGAATGACAGTTGACAAGCTTACTTGGAGAATACATCTAGCTTATTGAATCATTAAGGCAAATAAAGGTCAGCTTGCATTTTTTACCAAGCTTATTGACTGACTGATTGACTGTTCATCTAGCTCCTCAAATCGCTTACTTTACAACTATATGATGATTAACTGGCTGACCCGTTTCTTAAGCATTAGTTGTCGGCCTTAACAATTTGAGCGATATACTGACTTGTTATTCAACTAATCACCTACATAATTGATTGAATGACTTGCTAGCTAATTGACTGACTGATTGACTAACTGATAGCTATCTAGTTTACTAACTGATATATGACTTACCTATTAACTAGCTGGCATACTTATATGTTGTCAAGTGATTGATTCATTAAGACTAACTTACTGAGTTTGATTGAGTGACTGACTAGTGGTTTAGTTAACAATTGGCTAACTGGTTAAAGACTGTTTGACTGACTCTATGATCCACTTTCTGTTCAACTATTTGATTGACTGACTGCTTGACTGATTGATACACGCAATTACTCACTCAATATAAATTAAACTTCATGATGAAGTTCAATTCAAGTCGTCTAAATAAACTTTCAAGTTTTTCTGCTCATTGCTGTCCACTTCGAATCGCGTTCGCTCTTAACAAAAACCCAATTTCAGTTGATAATTAAGAACTTTTCAAGCACTTTTAACTGGATGTATTTGTATGTTTTATTGCGACTAATGAAAAAAAGGAAAAGAATTAGAAAAGACTTTGAAGTTGCAGCATCGCTCCGCTAGTGTCCGTGATCGTGTTCGCTGCTCTTCTTTTGCGACTTGTGCCACTTCTTTTTGTGCTCCTCGCCGCCCTTTTTGCCGTGCTCCTTTTTGTGGCCCCACTTCTTGGCCTCCTCGTGCTTCTTCTTGTGGCCCTGGTGGCCCTTTTTCTTGTGGCCCTTTTTGCTGTGACCCTTTTTGCCATAGTGCTCGTCGTGGCCGCCCTTTTTGTGCTCGCCCTTTTTATAGCTGCTGCCCTTTTTGTGCTTTTTGCCCTCCTCGAAGCCGCCGTGCTTCTCCTCGCCGCCCTCCACATGATCCTCGTCGTAGTATTTCTTTTCCTTTTTGTCCTCGTTCAATTTGTGCACGTTGTGCTTGCCCTTGATGGAGTGTCCCTTCTTGTAGCTGCCGTGATCCTCGAACTCGCTGCCCTTTTCACCCTTCTCGCCCTTCTTCTTCTTCTTGTGATGGCTCTCCGAGTGCTTGTGCTTCTTATCGTGGCCCTCCTCCTCGCCGTGCTCGCCCTTCTTGCCCTCCTTGTCGTGGTGGCCCTTCTCGCCCTTCTCATGGTGCTCGGCATGCTTGTGACCCTTTTTGCTCTTCTCCCCATGCTCCTTGTAATGCTCGCTGTGCTTTTTCTCACCCGACTCCGATTCACCCTCCTCGCCGTACTCCTCGTGCTTCTTCGACTCGGCCGGCTGCAGGTCATCGAAATGGGCGTGAAAATCGACCAAGTCGCTGCCAGTCAACGGCTCGCCTATCACCATGGCATTGTCCTGCCTGTAGGGATAGGGCAAGCTTGTCGTCGCCGCGAAAGCCGCAAGCGTTGCCAGACACACCAGTTGCCAGGATATTCGACTTGGCTTTGTCGCCATCTCTTGCCCCGTTTTAGTTGTCCTTAAAGGCTTTGAGCTGCTGCTGGTCTTGCTGCTGCTGCTGCTGCTGCTGTTGTTGCCACGCCTTAATGTCGTTGTCTGGTGAGCGGCTCTCCAGCAGCGTTCGCTTTTTATGTGACCGGACACCCAGCCAACGGCCACGCCTCATTTGCCCAGCTGCCCGGCTACCCGGCTGCCGGGCTCTGCGGCTGATTTGGCAACATTTTCTTTGGAACGCACTCGAGTCGAGTTTAGTCGTCGTGCCTAAGTGCATAACGCTGTTTCCAAAGCAGCAGCAGCACAAAAAACACCCTTGCACAACAAATAGCCAACTTCTTGCGGTTTACTCTTGCCACTTTTTGTTTTGACCAGAAAACATGCGACTTTCGTTACGTACGCTCATTGCAAAGGCATTTCAACAAATGACCAAAAGATCGACTGGCCGGATATGGACAAATCTGGGAGTAGAAATAGAGTAAAAATATATTTAAATTTAATAAGTAATATGTATCTAATATAGAATATATAAAAAATATTATGCAAGAGGCACCAAATGGTTTAGTTTTGCTCATTTGAAAAGAGTTTGCTAAATAAATAAATGTATTATCTATTATATTATAAATATGTTATCATGACTTTCCTTCATTTCTTCTTTTAAAATGAATTGCAATTGCATTTGAAATATTTTACTAAATGCGTTTAGGTCTTAAGAGAAGAATGTTGAATGAACATAAACAATTTACTGAAAAAGTATTATGTATTATGTATTAATTGGTATATAAAAATATGAGTGAATAAATAATAAAAGAAATTTTTGTAATTGATGTAAAAAAAAAGTAAATAAATAAATTACTACAAATAAATAAATGAATAAATAAATAAATAAATTAATTAATTAATTAATTAATAAACAAATAAATTAATTTATTTATTTATTTTATTTATTTATATGGGACACTTTATTTTTAAACAATTTACTGCATACAAAGTGTTGTGTTTAAAATTTTTTAAATTTAAGAGTGCAGTACACATTGTCCTTTTCTACTTAAATATAATTATATTTTTATAATATGGAAATTGATTCGTTAGAGTTTAACATACATACAGGGGAATTATTAAGGAATAAATAAATAATTTAAAAATACAAAATTAAAAAAAAAAAAAAAAAAGATTAATAAATAAATACTAAATTGATTCATGCCCAATAAGGGGTTAAACTATTAATTTCATGCGAATATTTCTATTTATGACTCTATTGCAATAGACCTTAGTTAAATCAAGAAACTTACCTTAATTTTTCCGCCCAGTTGCCTGGCTTTCCATCTCTTCTTATCTATTCTCTGTGCCCCTATAACCTCTCAACTAAGCTACGCAAAAACTCCAACTAAGCCATATCCAAACGTTCAGAGCTCAATTCGGCGGTCTTTGCCGCTGAGAAGCCTGCTCCTAGCCGACTATTCGCCTATTCGCCCAGTCGCCTAGCCGCCATTGCCACCTGCATTGTCCTAATTGCCTAAGGGGCTGGGCAGACAAATGAAATATGAATGTGTGCTGAGACTCACACACACACACACACAGAGCCACACACACTCATAGTGGGCCGTGTCAAAGGTTAATTACGCATGTTGCAGCTCGCTCGCTTGCCTTACCTCGACTCATCTACGGCTTCCTTTGTTCCTCGCTTCGCATCGTCCTTGGGCTTGGTCCGTAAATCGCTTAACGCACACTCGTATACCAAGCGCAGATGTATGCGTGCGTGTGAGTGTTTGTGTGTGGGTGTTTGCTTAAGCCATTTCCGGTTCGATTTTACCCATTGCTCAACGCTCGTTCGCAAGCTTGGGCAGGCAAACAGCGGGCAGCCGGACAGTCGGCCAGCCGAACAGCAGGTTGAAAGGACAAACATCTTTGTTTGGTTTCATATGCTAATCCTTCGAGCTGCGTCATAAATCATTCTTGTCCATGCGACACAGAGACACACGGACGAGCAGACAGTTTCTCAATCAGGAATCAAGGCGACGAGCTCTGCCCAGCCTAAAAGCGCCTCTTTTGTATTATTGCCGGCTGAGCAGCGTTGCAATCTGCCGGGATTTGCGGTGGCTGCTGCTGATGCTGCCGCCTCTGCCCCAAAACAAAAGCAATAACAAGGACATGAATATAACAAAAGCATACAGAAGCAGACAACGGCTATCACCTAGCAGCAGCAGGAGCAGCAGCAGCCAGCTAACAGATTCAACTTCAGCCTCAGAGCCAAAACTTGCAGTCAGGCATTGAAAAGTGTTTTTGTTCAACATGCAACTGGCAAGGGCATATGTCTGTATGTATTGTGTGTGTGTCTATATGTGTGTGTGTGTGCCGGCCCAGGTGAGCAGTCAACAGCTCAGCCCTTCACAACTTCTCACTGGCTGTGGTTGTTTTTGTTATTGTTTTGGAATTGCCTCGACAACAACAACAACAACTACGAGCAACAATCCCACATGGCCAGTGGGCAAATGCATTAACGAAAGTGCTTGGGCGGCTGCCGGGGGAGCAAAGACGACGTAGAGGCAAAGGTGATGGCTAAGTGCAGCAGCAGCAGCAGCAGCAGCAAGAGTCCTGCCCTGGCCTTCCGTGTGGCATGGAGTTTGCCTGGTGGCCTGGTATCAGCATTAAGAGATCATAATTCATATAGCTCGGCTAATAATTCAGTTAAGTTGAAATGCGCAATACAGACGCAGCAGCAGCTTCTGCACACACATATTCATACATTCACACACACACATACACACTCTAACACACACGGCCATATAATTTGATTACCCACCCCTTAAATGCTATTGTGCTGAGGCTGCATTCTGGAACCAGGTGGAACTAGTGGCAAATTGCTGAAACCAATTAAATTAGTCAATCACAAGCCGTATATGACGTTAATATATAATAAATTAATAAAATTTATATTAAATGAATTCTTTAATAATAAAGAATTATGTTAAAAAATAAAAATAAATAAATAATGCAATGCAAAACAAATCCTAAAAAATAAAAAAATAAAATAATAATAGTATTATATAAAATTATAATATATACTTAAATAATCCTTAGCTAGAGACTAGCTAAAAAAAAGTATTATTATTATAATTTAAATTGAAGCTTAAAAAATTTAAATTTTTAAACTTACAATAACTTTAAAAATTCAAAGTTGATTTATCATTAATTATATATATAAATATTTTTACAAATTGTTAGTTTTATTGTATAAATTGTAAAACAATTGATAAAAAAAAAAAAAAAATGTAATATAATAATAATAATAATAACATTTATTTTATTATTAAGATTATTAAGATATTATAAATTATGCACTTTTTTAAACAAAATAAAATAAAAATGTAAAACAAAACGCTTTTGTATGCTGAAATTTATGAAAAATAAATTGTCCCATCTAAATAAATAAACATACAAATTAGAATCAAATTAAGTTTGTATAAAAATGTTGCTTTCTTCAAATTAATTCTTAATTGCTATTAGCTTTATACACATCAGCAAATATTTATGTTAATAGCAAAAAAATAAAAATAAACCTAATTTAATTTACTTTCTTCTAATTCATTGCTAACTAAATTTTAATTTTATTTAGTCTTTTTTTTTTTTTTAATGAACTAGTCTCAAAGCTAGTTCCAAAGAGACAGCAGAAAAAATAGAGAATAGAAAATAGTTCATTTTGGCAGGTGTCTGGCCATAGAGCTGGAGCCTGCTGTTAGTCCAGGGGGCTTAACTTCATTACCCTGCTCTCTCGCCAGAGTCGCCTCTGCCGGGTGTGCACTGTACCCTGTTGTGGCTTTGCCTGTGCTGCAGCAGTTTTAAAGGATTTTCAATGTTCTTGCAAATTAGTTTAATCCACTGTGCGTGTATGAGAGAGTATACATACATATATACATACATATGTATGTATGTATGTGTGTGTGAGTGAAAAAGTTTATTGTTTTCAGTAGCAAAAGTTGCTGCAGCTTCGGTTGATGCTGATGCTGATGCTGATGCTAATGTTGTTGTTGTTATTGTTGTTGTCTGTTGTCGGTTGCTGTTGTCTGTTGCTGTTGTTTGTTGTTTGCTGTGGCTTGAGAGCATTTGGCCAGGCTTAAGCCCATTTATGTGTGTGCATTTTAGTAGATTGCCAACATAAAAGGCACACCCACTTCTATGCAAAAAAGTTGAATTTTGAATATGTGAAGCATTTTTTGCAATTAGCTGGCATAATGAACGCTTAAAACTTGTGCGGCAAATGGCAGGAAATTTGATGGGAAATTGTCGAGGGGTCGTAAATATGCCAATACGCTCGCCTCAATGAATCAATGAATGTGTCAATGATTAGCATAGTGGACGCACACACAGGGCGCACATATACAATGACCAATGATAGCGCAAATGTAAATATTGCACTTAGGCAGACGACCTGCTGCTGCTGCTGCTGCTGCTGCATGGGCTCCCCAATGGGCCAGCAATAACAGGCTAATGCAACTGCAATGTGTGGCCAACAATGGGGCGGAGGTTAAGCTGAAGTCCTGTTGTGCTATAATCAGGCGAATGGCTGCCAATGGACGCACACACACAGAGATAGAGAGAGAGAGAGAGAGAGAGAGAGTGAGAGGGAGAGCTGACCCATTGCAGTTAATTTATTGTGACCAATATAACGCCCCAGTATCCGTGCAAGGAGCACAGAGACAATGATGCTGCTGCTGCTGCTGCCGCTGCTCCTCGGGGCTCCGCTCGGCGCATGTAAATTGAAAATTATGGCAATGCGCAACAAGATTAGCCCAGACAGAGTACAAATCCCCATCCTGCCGAAATTCCCAGCATCTGTGCACACATATCCAAAATGAATTTATTGACGCTTGCCCTCGCGAAGCACTCGCTGCGTAAACTGAATGAACGAGTGACCGCACCCCACACACCCAAAGTTATGACTTAATGTATTCAGTTATGGACAGAACAAGATATGGCACACACATAACTCTGGGTACGAGCGGGGTGCTACGAGTGACATATGAACATATGTACATATGCATGTGCATACACCAAAGTTCTTAACTAGATGAGCGCACATAAGCACACTGCCTCATAAACATATGCAAGAGCTTGATAAAATGTGAGTGAATTAATTGAATTTAAGTCACTTGAAATTTATGTGCAAGTTTTTAAATTTAAATTAAGAATATTAGAATGCAGACCTTAATTACAATACTTCTATATATAGAATAATATTTATTTAAGCTGTTAAAATAAATGTAACCAAAGAAAAAAATACTGTTAAAATAAATTTTAATTTTAAATTTCAATGTCAATTCCATACAGCCCCAGAATCCAAAGAGCATTTTGTGGGAGAATATATAAATTAGAACTTATGAAGTAGAGTTTAGAACTCATAACATTTAGCACAATTTTAGATCATAAGAGCAGTTTGAAAATGTTCTACTACTCAAAAACTAAGCATATTAAATACATATGAGAGTTTTATACCTCATGAATAAAAAACTTGCTTTGCTGTTTATAATCTCTACTTAAAATAGAGCAGCAAATAGAAGAAGACGTAGAAGCAGAAGCAGAAGCTGAAGTTGAATTTGAAGTTGAAGTCACACTTAACGTCCAAGGACAGTGAGGACTTGACTGAGCAGATGCATAGATACCTGATATGTCAGCCCCGTGTATACATATATACATAGACATATATATGTATATCTGGGCAATGTCTGTTTGTCTATCTGTCAGTTGCAGCACTCGAACACTCGAAACTTTTACCAACAGTTGCCACTCTAGAAAATTTCTCTGCGCCGTTTTGACACAGAATCCGACACTCAAATGAGGATGAGCAGAGAGCGGACAAGGATGTGGACAAGTGCTTGGTGTTCATTGGCGCAGCGCACTCATACAGAGTGAGTGAGACAGCTGCACAGAGAGGGAGAGCGGAACTCAGTGCTGAGGCAGCCAAATGCAGCCAACTTTTCAGCTTGCCTTATTATGCAAATGCCTCGACTGAACAGCCAGCTCTATCTATCTATCTATGCACTATCTATCTATATATATATCAATGCTATATACACATACACATACATATATATAGCTGCATGCGAACGTCATCGATTTATAAGTTATGCAAGCGCCGAACCCGAACCCACAATCACGCTCTAAGAATCTGTCTGTTGACTACTTTGTAAGCAATGGTTTACTGTTGTAGTTGCTGTTGTGGGTTCCAGGCATCCCCTTGGCACACCTACCGCCCTCAGCTCATCGCCCACCGCAATCAGCAATTTTTTTTTTATATTTCTTCTTCCTCGTTTTAGTTTTTTTTTTTTTCTTTTTTTTTCCAGCGAAAATCAATCTCTTGGCCCCGGCTCGCTCAGCTTCCAATTAGAATGCAGGTTTGTGCTGTGTTGCGTTGCTGTTTTTGTTGCCCCTTGCAGCTGCTGCTGATTGGTTGCACGCAAACAAAAAGAGCCAAAACTATAACAAACGAAATGCATATAACAAAAACAATAATAAAACGGCAAAAAGAATAACAACATTGTTGTACAATAGCCGTACATATACATACATACATATATATGTACATTTCTTTTTGCAATGCGATTTTTAATCAAAGTTTTTGCTATCGCGCCAGCCGCAGTTAGATAAAAAACTAACAACAAATTTAAAAGAAAACGAAAGGAAATTAACAATAGAAGCGTATTTGACTTTGGCATAGTCTGTCTATATGAAATTAATAAATATGTATTTTGAATTTTTTTATTATTTATTTTTATAAAAGTTTATGATTCAAATATTTTTAATTTCTTAAATAAGTTATGTATTTTTTTTTAAGTATTTCACATTTTTTAATAAAATAAAAATATTATACTAAAAGATATTTTTAACAAAATAAAATAAAAACATATGACATTTGTATAAAATTTGTGATAAAAATTCTAATATCAAATTAATATAAATCGTAATAAAAAGAATTACAAAGACAATCCTAAATTCTATTATATACTTCAATTTTAGAATTAATTTCGAGTGTTTTAATAAAAAATTTTTGTATGCCACTTTTTTCTTATTATATATTTCTATTTTTTCTTAATTGTATATTTATTTTAATTTTATTATTTTAATTTTTTTTGCATCATATTTATATATTTTTTATTTAAAGAGTCAAAAAGAACAAATATAAGAATTGTACTTTTCATACTTATTTTAACTATAAAAATATAACAAAAATTAATGTGAAATGATATGTTCCTAAAAATAAAATAACAATCATATTTTAAGTACTCTGTAGGCTTTAAAATATTTTTATTTATTAATTTTCTTTATTTTGTTCTTTTTTTTTATTAAAAATAAAGTGTCCCATATAAATAAATAAATAAATAAATTATACGTATGTATACTTACATAATTTTAGCATTAAATACTTCATTCATTATCTCCGCATTTCGGTCATCTGTCTCTCACTCTCTCCCTCTCTCTGTAACTTATTTTAGGCAGCATGGCAACGCTGCCCAGCTGTCTGGCAACTCTTACTCTTCCAAACCAGCGCTGAAGATCGTTGCGAAAGCTCTCCACATACAATATTGATTGCAGCAGCTCACAACTCACTCGCAAAGCTGCCAACGCTTGAAAGCTCTCGGCGAAAGCTCAAGCGCGTGTGCTTGATCATTTGATCGACTTCCAAACGACACATTGGAACTTTTCGAACTTCGAGCGACAACTTTGCTCGCGCAGCTGCTCAGTCGGTTTTAGTTCTGTTGGAGTGAAGCAGCAACGTTCGCAAGTTGAACGTCGATACAGAAAAGTAAGCACAAAGCAAACAAGTAAAGAAAAAAATTGAGAGAAAAAGAAAACAGAAAAACTAATTTAAATTCAGTTCAGTACTTCTGAGCAGTTATTGAATCATTGAAATCAGGCTGTACAATAACATTTAACTCAACTAATTATGGAAGGCGGCAAAAAAAAGTGATAAAAAATTGAGAGATACCAACATGCAATTAGCATGCGTATTAGATAATAAATGCAGCCATGCAGCCCAATCAGAAAACACTCAAAACAAAACTGCATAAAAAACAATGCAACACCTAAAGTGCGCACAAAATAATTGAATGCAAAATATTTCTATTTGCGGAGTGGAAAAATATTTGTCAAGTCAGCTGACCTTACGCCCGTGCTAGAACGGCCCCGGGGGTCTTGTGATCTAAGCGGCTTCCGATTGGAGTTGTGCTGCAGCCGCGGCGTTGCTATTCCTTCTTCGCAAAGAACGCAGGCAACTCCTATAAAAAGAAAACGAACAGAAGCAGACGGCAAAATTCAATATGGTGGCTCGACTGTAGCGCACTTGTAGAGCTCGGTCTGCATTTTTCCAGTTGTGCTGTCAGCTGACAGCATGACAGTAGTCTTGTGATCAACGTCAAAAGGCAATTGTCAAAAATTCGAACTCGAATGCGAGAGTCGACGCTGCGAGCGCGAGTGCTGTCGCTTGCGCTCGCTCTCTTCCACTCTCTCTCCCTCTCTCAGTGTAACTTCAACTCTAACTCTAACTGGTAGATAACACATCTGACCCGCATACAGTTTTTTCTCGAGTATCGTAATCGCAGCTGAGAAATACAGCCACAGCTGTATTGTTAATTTTTCGAATTAACTTTTAATTGGTTTGTCGTCTCAGCAGTTACTCGCGCTGTTCGAAAGTTACAAAGTTATCAATATCGTGGAAGTCGTTTTTCGAACTGCTGCAAAGCTTTGTCACGTGAAATGAAAGCTCTGCAAACTTTTATTCATTAGGCATTTTTTCATTATTAAACGTTGTGCTTAAAAGACCTTTAAAAAAAGATAACCATTTTTTAATCGAAAAATCCCATAAAAATATAAAAGTAAAATATTTATAGAGTATCTTAATAATGTATTTTGAGTTGGCATTAACCATATTAGTTGTGCGCCTCACATGCGCTCTATGTGTCAGCTGACAGTGATAAGAAAATTTTCAACTCCCCTTATCTTATATCTTATGCAGAAAAATAATAGTAATTCTTTTTTATTAAATTTTTTAATTTTCCTCTCCGTTTTAGTTGTAGAGTCGAAAATAAACCAAAATGTCCAACTTGAAGCGTTTCGATGACGAGGAGCAAGAGTCCAAATATGGACGCGTCTTCGCTGTCTCTGGACCTGGTAAGCATTTAAATACAAATTCTTAAAAAAAAAATTTAATCAAATTATTTAATATCTTTTTTCTCCTCCGACCTTCAGTCGTCACAGCGGAGTGCATGTCTGGCTCTGCTATGTACGAGCTGGTGCGTGTAGGCTACTATGAGCTGGTGGGTGAGATCATTCGTCTGGAGGGTGACATGGCCACCATTCAGGTGTACGAAGAAACATCCGGCGTTACAGTCGGTGATCCCGTGCTCCGCACTGGCAAACCTCTTTCCGTTGAATTGGGTCCCGGTATTATGGGCAGCATTTTTGACGGTATCCAACGTCCACTGAAGGACATCAACGAGCTCACCGAATCCATCTATATACCCAAGGGTGTGAACGTGCCTAGCTTGTCCCGCGTGGCTAGCTGGGAATTCAACCCCTTGAACGTGAAGGTCGGCTCCCACATCACCGGAGGTGATCTCTATGGTCTGGTTCACGAGAACACACTGGTCAAGCACAAGATGATTGTCAACCCACGCGCCAAGGGTACCGTGCGCTACATTGCGCCATCCGGCAACTACAAAGTCGATGATGTTGTTCTGGAAACCGAATTCGATGGTGAAATCACCAAGCACACTATGTTGCAAGTGTGGCCCGTGCGTCAGCCCCGTCCCGTCACCGAGAAGCTGCCCGCCAACCATCCCCTGTTGACCGGCCAGCGTGTGCTCGACTCGCTCTTCCCCTGCGTCCAAGGCGGTACCACAGCCATTCCCGGTGCTTTCGGTTGCGGCAAGACTGTGATCTCACAGGTAAATGAAAAGATTGCCAAAGCGTTGTAATCATTGCTCACTCACTCTTATACACTTTACAGGCTCTGTCCAAGTACTCCAACTCCGATGTCATCATCTACGTCGGTTGCGGTGAGCGTGGTAACGAGATGTCTGAGGTATTGCGTGATTTCCCCGAGCTGTCTGTTGAAATCGACGGTGTCACCGAGTCCATCATGAAGCGTACCGCTCTTGTGGCCAACACCTCCAACATGCCTGTCGCTGCTCGTGAAGCTTCTATCTATACTGGTATCACTCTATCCGAATACTTCCGTGATATGGGTTACAACGTGTCCATGATGGCTGACTCCACCTCTCGTTGGGCTGAGGCTCTGCGTGAGATCTCTGGTCGTCTGGCTGAAATGCCTGCCGATTCCGGTTACCCCGCATATTTGGGTGCCCGTCTCGCCTCCTTCTACGAACGTGCCGGTCGTGTCAAGTGCTTGGGTAATCCCGAACGTGAGGGCTCCGTGTCCATTGTCGGCGCTGTCTCGCCACCTGGTGGTGATTTCTCCGATCCCGTTACCTCCGCCACTCTGGGTATCGTACAGGTGTTCTGGGGTCTCGACAAGAAGCTGGCCCAGCGCAAACATTTCCCCTCCATCAACTGGCTCATTTCGTACTCGAAATACATGCGTGCCCTGGATGACTTCTATGACAAGAACTTCCCCGAGTTCGTGCCACTACGTACCAAGGTCAAGGAGATTCTGCAGGAGGAGGAGGATCTCTCTGAAATCGTGCAGCTGGTCGGCAAAGCATCGCTGGCCGAGACCGACAAGATCACCCTGGAAGTGGCCAAGCTGCTGAAGGACGATTTCTTGCAACAGAACTCCTACTCGTCATACGATCGCTTCTGCCCCTTCTACAAGACCGTTGGCATGCTGAAGAACATCATCGACTTCTACGATATGGCTCGTCACTCTGTGGAGTCGACAGCCCAGTCTGAGAACAAGATCACCTGGAACGTTATTCGCGAGGCTATGGGCAACATTATGTACCAATTGTCATCGATGAAATTCAAGGTTCGTACAATTAGAGTTCGATATGCTCGACCCTAAAGTAATATGCGAATCAATTCTTTGCTTTTCAGGATCCCGTCAAGGATGGTGAGGCCAAGATCAAGGCTGACTTCGATCAGCTGCATGAGGACTTGCAGCAGGCCTTCAGGAATCTGGAGGATTAAAGCGCGTTGTCCGTACTTTTACAAATCTAATCTAATATTGTTATGTTAGTTAACTTTTAAAAAAACAATTTGCGTACAGTCCGTACCGAAGTACCGTCAAAAAACAACTATTCCGTGCAACAACAAAAGATTCCAAACGTCCAAAAAAAAAAAAAAACAACTATTGTTAACATTCCTTTTTGTTAAAAAAAAAAACCCAAGAACAACAACAAAACAAATATAGCCAGCAAGATGAAAACATTCCGGCCTGCGGTTGCTTCTTCTTACCCCGCCTCTCGGCCCTCAACAACAACAGCAACAACAACTAACTAACGTCCTTCTATGTACTTCCATTACCAATACATGTAAACACGCATACACACAAGTCCATACACACACACACACGCGCACACACGTACACACGCAGATACAAATGCATGCATAGTATTATTGTTTAATGAATGGAAATTCTTTTGTTTATTTGTGAAAAAGTCATGTTTTCTCTTTGTTTGTTTGTTAAACTTATGTAAATATTAAAAGTATGAAAAATTAAATGTACGAATAAAGTGCAAACAACAAATACATTTAATGTAATTGAAAGCAGACCTATCTCTCTCTCACTCTTAATCTGCCTCTCTGTTTCACTGTTGCTTTCTCTCACTCTCGCTCGACTCGCAGATTGCGTAACGATGTCGACCAAAACAGCTGTGTGTTTGGCATTCAGTGAATAGTTAATATTGAGTATTAGCCAAATAAGACTCAGCTTAAGTTGAGTAGCATATTATACCCTGTAGACATTTATGTGGGGTATATAGGTTATAGGCGAAGGTTTGTAACTGATTAGGGTTTATTGACCTAACTCAACTTGTTTCTTGTTTATTATTATCATTAATGTGGAACTCATGCCATTAAAATTGGGTATCTAAACAAACATGAACAAATATCTCAAACATTCCAAGGTACAAAGTTTTTTATACGGTTAGGTATTATATGAATATAAATGAAGTACCAGTTAATATGCAAATTGATGGGTATTTCATGAGTCTAATTTAGGCATAGATTAAATAGTCCATATTATATTTCCTGAGATCGAAGAAACCCAGCATAAAATTTTCAGTGTAGGAATTTCGTATAACATTTCCCATTTAATATTTGCAATCCGTAAATTTTTCTCATTTATTATTACTATTAAATTTGTTCAGTGATTTAAAAAGAAATATATATATAAATAATTTAAGAAATGTATTAGTAAGGCAGCTTGGAACTTCATATTAATTGTGCCCTGATCTATGTTTCTTTGTATAGATATTCACAAATGAACTAAACATTTTCGTATTCCCAAATTAGAATATTATTAAAATAACTTTTTGAAATGCTAATTTAGTTCATGAGATTAGCATAGAGAGAAAATATTTTAAAATGCATTCACTAGAGAATAGAACTAAAATTTTTTATTTTAAATTAAGCAAAAAGTTGCAATCAATTATTATTATTTTTTGTTGTTGCTGAATTAAACCCAGCAGTCAAATATTTTTGGTGTTTTAAATTCAAAAATTGTTCAGTATTTACTCATTCCTTTATCAATTATATGCAGAAAAAGTATAAGTTCTGGTAATTCCAGTTTGTCGCATAAAATTCTCAGTTCGATTTCGTTTGATTTAGTCAATTTCTGAATACTCTACCAAAATGAGTCTTCGTAAATGTCAGTGCAAAAAGATATTCCCCATTGTTAAAACACTAGAGGAGGCGACGAATACCTCGTTCATCAGTGAACGGACTTCTTCGCCGATTGTTGCAGTCCAAGAGGACGCATCGGAACAAGAATTGAAGTCCTATCGCACGGCAGACTCTGATGACGATGCAACACCAGCGACTAGGCATGATGAGCATGTGTCGCGAAAAGGATGCGTATTTGGGGTCTCTGGTCCGGTGGTCAACGCCGAACAGATGTCCGGCTCGGCCATGTACGAGCTGGTCCGCGTGGGCCACTATCGCCTGGTGGGCGAGATCATCCGACTGGAGGGCGAAATGGCCACCATACAGGTGTACGAGGATACCTCGGGCGTCAGCGTCGGCGATCCCGTCTATCAGACCGGCAAGCCGCTCTCTGTCGAACTAGGCCCCGGCATAATGGGCGCCATTTTCGATGGCATTCAGCGACCGTTGCGCGATATTAGCGAATTGATGAAATCCATTTATGTGCCAAAAGGTGTCGATGTCAACTGCCTCTCGCGCTCCGCTGAATTCGAGTTCATTCCGTCGAAAAATATACGCATAGGCGAGCCGATCGTTAGCGGCGACATCTACGGCACCGTCCAGGAGAACAGCATGGTGGAGCATCGCCTAATGATCTCGCCACGCAAACTGGGCAACGTCACCTATATCGCTCCCGCTGGCAACTATAATATCGAGGAGACGGTCATCGAGACGGAGTTCGATGGCCAGAAGACCCAGCACTCGATGCTCCAAGTGTGGCCAGTACGCATCAGTCGGCCGGTTATCGAGAAGCTGCCGGGCAACCATCCCCTGCTAACCGGCCAACGTGTCCTCGACGCGTTCTTTCCCTGCGTCCAAGGCGGCACCACAGCCATTCCGGGCGCCTTTGGCTGCGGCAAGACTGTCATCTCACAGGTAGGTGAAGAGATTATCCAGCTAATGGACTCATTGCTCTCATACTATATTCAACGACAGGCACTGTCCAAGTACTCCAACTCCGATGTCATCATTTACGTCGGCTGCGGCGAACGAGGCAATGAAATGTCCGAGGTGTTGCGAGACTTTCCTGAGCTCAAGGTCGAGGTGAATGGTGTCAACGAATCCATAATGAAGCGCACTGCCCTGGTGGCCAACACCTCCAACATGCCCGTGGCTGCCCGGGAAGCGTCCATTTATACTGGCATCACTATATCCGAGTACTTCCGTGATATGGGCTACAATGTGGCCATGATGGCCGACTCCACGTCCCGTTGGGCCGAGGCTCTGCGTGAGATCTCAGGTCGTCTGGCTGAGATGCCTGCCGATGCGGGCTACCCAGCGTATCTGGGCGCACGTTTGGCCTCCTTCTATGAGCGAGCGGGCCGCGCTACGTGCATGGGCAGTCCGGAGCGTGAGGGTTCCGTGTCCATTGTCGGCGCTGTCTCGCCACCTGGTGGTGATTTCTCTGATCCCGTTACCTCCGCCACTCTGGGTATCGTACAGGTGTTCTGGGGTCTCGACAAGAAGCTGGCCCAGCGCAAACATTTCCCCTCCGTCAACTGGCTGCAGTCGTATTCGAAATACACGCGAGCGCTCGACCAGTACTATGAGGAGCAGAGTCCCGAGTTTGTGGAGTTGCGTGATACGGCCAAGCAAATACTGCAGGAGGAGGACGACCTGTCCGAAATAGTGCAGCTGGTGGGCAAAACCTCGCTGAACGAGTCCGACAAGATTACGCTGGAGGTGGCCAAGATGCTGAAGGATGACTTTCTGCAGCAGAACTCGTACAGCCCGTACGACTGCTACTGTCCCTTCTACAAGACCGTGGGCATGCTCAAGAATATGATCACCTTCTACAATCAGGCCATCCAGGCGGTGAAGAATACGGCTACAGAGGAAATACATGTCACCTGGGGTCACATACGGGAGCAGTGCAGCGACTTGCTCTACGAATTGGGCACCATGAAGTTCATAGATCCCAAGGAAGGCCAGCAAGCCGTCGAGGAGCAGTTGGGGAAGATCTATGAGAATACTATCAAGAGTTTGCAAGATTTGGAAAACAATGTAGGATCGCTCGCCTAGTATGAATTCCCAAAATTGAATTGAAATTTGAGGAAAAAATTGAAAGTTTTATAAGGTTATGAAATTTATTATGTATATACATATTTTATGAATTATTGTTTTCTAGAAAGTTTCAAAAGATTTCCGTATATGATTTACTATAAAAAAAATTAAAAAAAAAAAAAAACAATTTTTTATTTATATACAAAAATAAGTATATATTAGAAATATTGTAATACAATCTATTAAAAATGCTTACATAGATATAAACTTTACATATTTTTCACAAAACTTCACCTTCACCAACAAGTTTATACATTATCCATATGTTTTTTTTTTTTTTTCATATTTCTTCAAAATTAAAATTTTTTTAAAAAGCATCTTTTAATATTTATAGAGTACAGTTAACATTCAGACAGCTAATGCTTTATATAATTTTCACTTGTCGCTCCGCAAATCATTCGCCAAACTCCACTTTAGCTAATTTCAGCTTAAACCACACTTTAGCTTTTTGCATCCTGTTATTGCTCTTAGTTTTATTGTTCGCTTTTCTGCTTCCCTCTTCTTATTTTTGGCGCATAAAAGTCTGCTTCAGAGTCGGAATCAGAGTTAATCCTTTTACCCGTTTGCCATGTTCCTGTTTGGCGTTTTTGCTGGCAATGCTCGATAATTTGCACAACGGCATCCAAATGTCGACAAAATTCGTTGATTTATACGAAAAGTTTATTAATGCGCTGCAAGAACGAACGGTGGCGGCTATGCGCGCCATGCCACGCCTACCGCCCAACGCCTCCCTCTATCAGTCACCCAAAAGTCAGCACACAAAAATTGCAAAGAGAGATCGATTTCGATTCAATTAGTGAAAATTAAATGTAAGTATATATATGTATATATGTGTGCACCCACACATATGCGACTGCATGTGTGTGTGTGCGCTTGCACGTTTGACTTTTCCGATAAGACCCCTCTGGTGCTGGGGGGAGGCGTGGGTATTGGGCGCTGGGCGGTTAGGCGTGGCAGGCATTGCGATGATTACATTTCCGCATTCGGCACCGCAGCCAAGTAACCAAGTCAGCCATAAAATGAGCGCAGCAGAGAGCTAAAGAAGATGAAGAGAGAGAGAAAGAGAAAGAGAGAGAGAGACAGAGAGAGAGAGAGAGAAAAAAAAACGTCGAAGCAAGCCAAAAATCAGTTCAATTGCAAATTGAAAATCCCCTTACAACTTCCGTTTCCGCTAGGCGAGCACTGAGAGCAGGCGAACGACAGAGTGAGAGAGAGAGAGAGAGAGCATGCTAGCATGCATGTGTGGGTGTTTGTGTCTGTGTGTGAGACGAGCCGCTCGGCTGCCATGACAAACGTGGCGTATGAGCAATGCTCACTAATTGGCCGCCGTTCGTTGCCACAGTCTGTGGCAATCTAGTCCGCCTTCTGCCAACCAACGAGTGATTCCGCTGCTTCTCTTCGCCTGCTCCATCTTCTTCTTCTTCTACACCGTCGTCGTCGTCGTCGTCATCGTCGTTGCCATTTCGAGTTTAAGCTGTACGCTTGAGTTGAGCCTTAATGGACGCAGCTGCAGCATAGAG